ACAAAAAGAAATGCACTATGCTGAGATACAAATAAAACCACTAAAGCTTGTGGCTAGAGCTATATTTTTTTCATTTGAAGAAGCTGTAAATCTTGGGTTGCCTGCTTCCTGAAACACCTTGAATGTCTTTCTACAATGTCTCCGCTTAACTTGACCCTTTCAAAGAAAGTACAACTCATCTAAAAGATGGCAAATAAAGATTTTATTAAAAGGTATATTTTGACAGTAGTATATATATAGATGATTGTTAAATTCTAACCTATTTCAATCTTCTACCTTTTACTTTTAATTTTACTTTCTTCTTTTAAAGCAAGTTTTCTAAAAATACAAAAAAATCTATTGGTTATTTGTCAATGGATCAGATTCATATACTATTACATTTAGTACTACCACTAGCTTCTTGAAAATAGACCATACTGATGATTGGAATAAATAGCAGTTGAAAAGAAGTCCTGGAGATTCTTGTCTCATACACTGCTTACCAGTTAGGAAGAAGAAAAATACCTGGAGTTGTATATGTAGCCAAGAGTGGGAAGGCAATTGTGGCGTAATGAAAAGGATCCTGAATTTGGAGTGAGTTGACCTAGGCTTCAGCCTCAGCCTTTGCCATTTTCTAGCTCAGTATTTGGGAGAGTTCTTTAACTTTTAACTGCTAAGTCACAGTTCCCTAATTTATAAAATTAGAATAATACCATGGAGGATTATTATAAAGATTCAGTGAAATAATGGATATAAAAGCACTATGTGAATTGTGATATAAAGAGAGAGAGAGAGAGAGAGAGAGAGAGAGCGGAGGGAGAGAGCGAGCAAGAGCGCACTTACTGTTATCAGGCTGTTGGTGGCTTGCAATCTTTATCTCAGATGAGCAGCTGACACTTAGATTTGGAGCACAATTGAAAAGAAATGCACGTGGTGGACATAGAATAGGCAGGCGTGACTTTCCCCTTAGACACACTGTCTAAACAGAGAAGGTCTCTGGAGGGAGTAAATTCAACCTTGATTTGAAATTTCTGCTCTTCAGTGATAAAAGTGAGGCAAACCAAGCTTATATATATCTATACTATTTCATATATACCCTGGAATCAAAGATTTTCAGTCTTTCATACTCTTAACACCTATTTGCTGAGGGTCTAGTATATATACCAAGCATTGTGTTAATATCTTAGTAAACACTGGTCGACAAGATTTCTGCTTCCAAAGGACTTGGTCACATTAATATCTTTATTCCAAGTAGTTGTCAAAGTGTCAGCTCATAGTAGATGATCACCAAAAGTTGGTTGACTGAACTAATGTCTCTAATTTTGTAGCAATGCCATAGCCAAAAAAAAAAATAAAGAAGCAATTTTTTTTGTGAACAGAGATGCCTACCCAATCATGTGATTATCATGGTAGTACTTCTTAAGTTTTGAGGGAAAGAGTCTTTTAAACTAAAATTTGTCTAGTCACGTACCTATAATGACAATTGTACTGTAAATTTAATGTCTTTCTGTTTAAAATGATTATCACTTCCAAGCAGTACATTTAACATGGGGACACTGTCAGTAGAAAATATTTTCAAGGGCCTCCCTGGTGACGCAGCAGTTGAGCACTGGGCTGCGAAGCTGCCCACAGCCTCTGCAGCACTGGTTCAATCCCTGGCTGCCAGCGAGGGTCCCACATGGCGCGACAGATCTCTCCTGCCGCTCCTGCTGCTCCCCTCAGACTTCACCAGTCTGCCTGTTCTGCTCCCCGCTCTGGTTCTGGTGAATTCTCTCACCCTCCTGCGCTTCTGACTCTACCCAGTGCTTATATAAATAAATAAGTAATTAAATAAATCTTTAAAAAATATGTATGTATATATATTTTCAAGGTGGCCTCCGTTATGTCAGGTCAAGAAACTAGCAAAAAGGGGCATCCCTGGGCCACCCTGGTGGCGCAGAGGGTTGAGCGCTGCGCTGTGAAGCTGTCCACAGCCTCTGCAGCGCGGTTCTATCCGGGGCAGGCCAGGGAGAAACCCACATGGCGTGGCAGACCTCTCCTGCCTCTCCAGCTGCTCCCCTCAGCAGTGTCTTTGGTCTGTCTGCCTGTTCTGTTCCGCACTCTGGCTCTGGTGAATTCTCTCACCCTCCCGTGCCTCTGACTGTACCCCAGTTCTTTTTTTTTTTTAAAGATTTATTTATTTATTTATACAAGCACTGGGTACAGTCAGAAGCATGGGAGGGTGAGAGAATTCATCAGAGCCAGAGCGGGGAGCAGAGCAGGCAGAAGGACCGAAGTACACTGCTGAGGGGAGCAGCAGGCGGCAGGAGAGGTCTGCGCGCCATGTGGGACCCTCCTCCGGCGGCCAGGGGCAGCCGGGGATCGAACCAGCGCTGCAGAGGCTACGGGCAGCTTTGCAACCCAGCGCTCAACCGCTGCGCCACTGGGGAGGCCCTGTACCCCAGTTCTTGTATAAATAAATCAATCTTTAAAAAATGGGGGGCATCCCTGGTGACACAGGGGTTAAGCTGCAGCGTTGTGAAGCTATCCATAGCCACTGCAGCATGAGTTTGAAACCTGGCCAGGAAGCTGATCCACATGGCATACCAGACCTTTCCTGCTTCGCCTGCTACTCCATTCAGTGTATTTCAGTCAATCCACCTGTTCTGTTTCCCACTCTGCCTCTGGTGAATCCTCTTAGCCCCTGCACCTCCTTCCTGTACTCCAATTCTTATATGCATAAATAAATGAATTTAAAAAACTAGCAAAAAGAATGCACTCTGCTTATGTCAAATCACTATCAATAAATTATGGACTTAATATTGATTTCACATGCTATTGAAACAAAGTAGAAGAAAATGGAAAGTCCATTCTATTTATACTACAATTAACTCTTTTAATAAGTACAGAGAGTTTATTTTTGAAAGTATCACTTTCTGGAAGCCATTAGAGAGCTAGTGCTATGCTGTAAAACTTCGTGGAGATTTTTCATAGTATCTAGAAGCTAATGGGTGGGGTGAAGGTGGCCAGTATTAGTACTGTCCACCAAGGTCCCCACTTTTACTTCTGAACTGTGAAGGACTCAATCTCCTTGCAGATGTGTCAGGCTATGCAATTAATTTTGGCCAGTAAAGTGTGATCATTGATCTGTTTCCTTTCTAAGCTAAGACTGAAAAGTTCATGGGGATTCTTCAGTAACTTTCTTCCTCTGCCACAGAGAATGAGTTGCTATAAGGCCTGGAGGTTTTGGGTATATTTGTTAGTTAATAACATACTGTTTCCTCATAGAGTCCAGAAAGGCTCATAGTACTCTTGGTGTCAAGTTTTTGAGTAAGAGATAAAAGAGATAAAATGGGTTTCATTAATTTGTCAGTAGTGTCTTTCATATTAAAGATGTTAGCCTCAGGTCTAGTTTTTTAATCACATTTAATCCAGATATCCCACAAGTTTTCCATTTTCCATTAATTCTCCTGTGAATCTTTTTTAAGTACTATAACTTTCATCCATAAATTTACTGTGCTTGCTACAAATGATCACTTTTCTCAACTTCAATTGAATTGTTTAATCTAATAATACATCATTATTTTCCTAAGCATTTTAACTGGAGCAAGAGGTTCTGAATTACGAACACCTTGTCTTTCTTTAATTGAACTATATAGAGAGCTGTCTTGAAGAAGGGAGACATCCCCACAACTGCACTATCTCTACAAGGGAGAAGGAGATGCATTCCTGATGATTTTATTTTTTTTTTCAACATTGGAGAGTTTAACCTTGAAGGACTTGTAGAGTTTGAGAATTATTATTCCTTATTCAAACTATAGATAGTAGGTAAAAATTTTCAAGTCACTGAAAAAGAAGAATGCTTTGTTCTTGTTTACTTTAATGGATTATTAAGTAGGAATACATAATGCATATAAAGCCTGTCCTTTCTTTTCACTTATCCAGAGCTATCCATCACAGTCCTATTTAAATCCGAGTCCCTAGGAAATCATCCTTGAACACACCAGCTGGAATTGATCCTTTTCTTTCCAAATTCCTATGTAAATTCATATAATTTATTTGGCGTTGCAGGCAGAGCGCATCAGAGTTCAAAGTTGGAAAGAAACTAGAAACCATAGAATACAATCCTCTCGTTTTGCAAATGAGGAAAATAAAGTCCAGAGGAGTTACATAAACTCCTTGGAAGCTATAAATCTAATGTGCCCAATTCCCAAGGTAGTCCATTCCTTTATGCCACCACGACCTTTACATGCAGTGTCTGGTATTGTTGGTATCTACTCAAGAGAAGGTGCATCTCACCAATAGTATGACTTGAAGTCAGGGAACTCTGTTACCGCTACAGTTTACAGTTTAAACACATTTTATCTAAGTTTTTGTAGACTCTAATGATTACATTTATTTAACCTATTACTTTAATCCATAACCTTGTTATCATTCCACCTTCGGAAGATAGCAACTTGAAGGGGCGAAGGAAGTAGGAGTAAAACTGCAGCAAGGTAAGTAAATAATCGACTCCGTGAGAACAATCAGAATGCTTAGAGATGCCCAACAATCACTTCTAGAACTGAAGGTCACTGCCCTTGGAATGATCAGATCTGCAGGTCCACTCAGCAAGGAGAAGCGCGCTGTCTGAACGGGGGTGCCCGAAGTTCAGGCGAAGTTCTGGAGGTGAAAGCCTAAAGAGGATTTCCGCTGGGTGGGATGCGTGTAAGATCAGGAGGAAGTCGCGGGAGAGCCGAAGTCGGAGCCCACACCCGGGCCACCTCCGGCGAGGCGCGGGGAGCGCGCCGGGGCAGGCGCGGCAGCCGGAGCGGTGCGAGCGCCAGAAGGCAGCCGCGCGGTCGCCATCCGGGCGTCGCCGGGGGCCGCGTCGGCCGGCGGAGGGCGCCGGGGGCGGGGCCGGGCCGCGTCGGCCGGCGGAGGGCGCGGGGGCGGGGCCGCAGGGGGCGGGGCCAGCTCGGGCCTCCCGGCTGCACGCGGCGCCCCCTCCCCTCGCGCGGGGCCCTGGCGCGGCGCACGTCCGCGGCCCGCGCCTCCGCCCCCAGCTCGCTCGCTCCTTCCCGCCCTCCCCGCGGCGCCGGCCGAGCCGGCTTCCCCTCGGTCTCTCATGAATATTGAGCGGCCCCTGTTGTATTTCCCGAGCTCCATTGCGGAAGCCCAGGCTCGCCATATTGTGCGGCGGCGCCGGCGGCCGCGGCGGCTGGTATCCGAGTCTAGCTCTGGCCGCGGCCAGCGGAGCCCGAGCGGGGCCCGGAGCCGGTAAGTGGGCGCGGGGAGGGCAGGACGCGCGGGGCGGCCGGGACCGGTGCCCGCTGGGCCGGGCGCGGGCGGTGACGCGACCCCGGGCCGGGGGTGTGTGTGTGTCCGCGGGGGCGTGAAGGGAGATGGCGCCGACGCCCCCGGCCGCCGTGGGCTGAGACTCGGGGGAGGCGGCTTCTCATTGTTCCGCTTCCTTCGAGGGTCTTGGCTGGGGGTGCCGAGTCGGGTCTGTCGGGGACCCGTGGGGGAAGCTCGGGGTTCCTCCTCCGCCGCGACCACCTCGCTGCCCTTCGGCGCGGAGGCCGGGGCTGCGGCGCAGGGAGGGGGCCCGGCCTTGGTCGACCCCTCGCGGGTGGACGCGCTGAATGCGGGGTTTCTCTCCGGGTTCCCCTCCCGGCCGGGGAGGGGGGGTGTCTGCGGCGTGGGGGTGGGGTCGGGCGCTTTGTGCTGAGTCCCCTCTTGCCCCGGCTGCGGGGTCGGGGTTCCGTGTGGGGTGCGGGAGACCCCCTCTGCTGAAACATTTCTGGAGTGCCCCGGCCCGCTCGGGAGTATCTGTTGCTGCTTTCCAAAACCGCGAGGTGGCCCGGGAGGGGCTTGGGGGTTCTAGGGGGAGGGGGTGTCTTGGTTTGTTTCTGTAGGAAGCTTCGCGTTTTGAACCCAGGGGTCCACGCTGAGACCTTTGGTACCCGGTGTCTCCAGGGAGCCCTAGTCTTGGTTGTCAGGATCCTTCACCTCCTTCCTGTTCCCAGAGATGCTGTTAGTAAAAATTGATCTCTCCCTCTTTGAGGTTCATTCCTATTATTTGCCGGTTAAGACCAGTTGCAGGTTTATCTCTTTGAAGCCTTTCGGGATATCTCCTGCCTGGCTGTCAGAAGTTTGGAGAATGTGTGCTTTTGCGTTGTAAAACGGTTTGACAATGTCACAGTTCCCTTAAGGTGTGTAAAGAAATTTAGTTGCTGTGAAAGGATAGGTTTGCTATCCTTATAATGTATTTTATTTCTTTTAAAAATTAAATTCAGACATGGTTTCAGTGTTTCAAACTAAGAATTATGTTTAAAGTAGTGTGTGCTTGATTTGCATTACATAATCTCCTTTTGGTAGTTGCAAGGTGATCAGCTGGAATAGGAATACTTAGTGGATTGGCAGGTAATCTTTCTCTTTCTGTGTTACGGTATGGCTGTTGAATATTTTAATAACTTAGATTGGTGTTAGGTCTTGGTTCTTAGAGTGACTCTTTGATCCTATGATTTATAAAGAATTTATAGGAAAGTAATACAATTGTTGGTTCTTTCCTTTCCCCCCTGAAATTTCTACTTGTCATAGTCAACAGGTATCTTTTAAAATCTTGACTGTGCATTTAATATTTTTAGTAAAATAATGGGTATTTATGTAAGACTCCATTTTCCAGGGATAGCATTGCAAATATGGCTCCTCATTTTTCGTAAAGATTTGTGTTATTTCCTTCAGATACTCTTGTGCAATCCACATTTGAGGTTAATTATGGAAGGTGTGAAAGTGGAATGGAGAATTTTATGAAGGAAAACTGCCTGAGTAGACTAGTCCATTTGAGTATTTGAAAAATGTGCTGATGGTTCTCATGTGCTGCTTAGTAAAATTTCAAATTAGAACCACTAACATAATGTAGACAGGGCAGGCATTCAAAATACTGAGAAGCTGGAATTTATCTTTGCTTGTGTGGAGGACACAAACAGCTAGATCCCAGGTTTGTGTGGATAGAAATGTAGAGCAGGTCAGCAAATGTCTTTGGATTTTCATTTGTCTTACTGACCCTCAGTGTGTGTGTCAGGTCTATATTTTTAATATGATTTGTGTTTATAATATGCAGTCTTTGATGTAAATGTGATATATGTCTAATGAATAATATATAGCCAGATTTTTCAGTGACAGTTTCATTTCTGTGCATTAGCAAAGAAGTGTAATTTCTTATAGAAAGAGAAGTGAGTTAACATTAAAATGTACTTTATTGAAATTATGGCAGCATTTCTAGTATGACTTAAAGCACCTTATAATTTTGTAAGAACTCATTAAACCTGGAGAAACAAAACAGTTCACAGTTTTTGGAAAAGGAAAAAAATATTGAAAGGTTATTTTTTGCACACATACAGATATATACTTAATTTTTGATTAGTGTTTATTATGTGTGTTGTGGAAGATAGACACTGTCATCAGATACCAGTTATATTAATTTTCTGATTTTTTCCCCCCCATTTCTCTGAAATCTAATTTACAATAATTTACTGAAGATTACATTATTGAATGTTTACTTATATTTAACAGTGGGTCCCCTTATAATCTGGGGTACAAAAATACATCAACCCTATGCATTCACTGTCTGTGTCCCTTTTACAACCTATTGTGTGAGAGGGGTCCTCTGTTTCTCTTGTAAGGAATCCAGTTTGGTTGATTTTTACATGGATATACTGATAGGGGTATTGTGGCTCTTGACCCGTAAGTAAATGTCCCATAGGCTGGAGTGAGGTGATGAGCCCTGACTTCCGAGATGGTAAGTGGTTAGGTGGCCCACTGTCCAGTTTTGTGCTGTGTGGGGGAACTCTAGTGGAACTAACCACAGACTTTAAAGTTTAGAATTCCTTTCACAAGTCTTTGTCTTAAAGTGGTTAGGCAGGTATGTCTGTCTGGACCTAGTGATAGGTCCTGGTTGGGTGCTTGGCAGCTATATACATTACAAAACCTTCCCAGAAAGATTCCTGTTGCCTGAATTTGCCTTCTCCCATTTCATTTAGAGAGTAGATTAATAATGTTTGCTGCTTCTATATACCTGCCATTTTGTTAAAAATTAAAAAAAAGTTCATTAAATGCAGTAATGAAAAATTGTTGAAATTAACCTCAGATTAAATTGTCCATTAAGGTCATCTTATTAATGTAGTAAAAGACCATATGAAAAATATCAAAACCTTTTGGTCATTTGTTTTCAATGGTTGTGTTAGTAGGGGCTCTTCTAAAAGGGGAATTTCTGTTTGTTTCTGTGCAATAGGGTAAAGTTGTATTTTATGAAGAAGTTAGATTCTGAAGTCAGTGTGTAAAATGAAAATCACATGTAGTAAGAAATTATGTTTGAAAATCCCTCAGGAAGGGAGAACAACATACCAGTAAGTTCAGCTCAGCTTTAGTTTTGGAACAGATAGCTGTTTCCTTTGTTGAACTCTAGATGTAATAGTTACTTACCTTACATTTAGGGGCTCTGTTGAGCAATAGCAAAAAAAAAAGTGTCTTTAAATAAACCAATCATATTCGGTATGGCATCATGCTCAAAGTGGAAACTGAGACCACTGAGGAATAGCAGATCAGCTCTTAGTCTCAGAGTTTCTCTAGTATATGTGCTCTAGTGCAAGAAGGTACATGTGTGTGCTTGGAGTAGCTTACACTGTTTAAATATTTTGCATTTCCTCTTTTTATTTTCCTTCCAAGTTGGATACTTAAAATCACAAAAGTTTAATGACTTATGCTGCATCGTAACAGACACAAAATTTACAGGGTTTTGAGTTATCCTTAATAAAAATATTTTTTTATTTATCAGAATAGCACTTGCTTTAGTTTCCCCCTAGTGAAAGCAGCACGCTGTTTCAGAGAAGGGCAGTTATAATCACTATGTTTAACGGTATTTTAGTGTCCAGTAGTGGAAACAGAAACTTCAGCTGGTATTTTAAGAGGGTATTTAATATAGGGAGCTGGTTAAATGGGTGGGTGTAGAAGTAAAAAGAGAACATTATAGTAGTCAACCTTTTAAGAGCTCAGAGAAGAGGTTCCATGAACCTGTTTCTGGACCTGGTCAGCAATGCTCAGCTACTGCTACCTCTGAAGTCCTGGAGTGGGGGGTCGAAGTTCTAGGAGTATGAAAGAAGCTCTAACCTGGAACTAATTGTGCTGCCAGGGTCAGCGACTATAGTAGCTGCCAGGAACTGGAAGAAAATTACCTATCCTCTCTCCTCACTTTCCAGTCATTAGTGCCATTCACAAAACCTAACAGTGAGCTAGCTGGCAGAAGAGTTGGTGACAAATAGTTTTATATAAAGCAGAGTCTAGAGTGATGGTTTTGGAGTTGAAAGACAATGAATGACTTGGACCTATACTATATAGGTTAAAGTACAATAATTTAAATAGGGATCCCGTTCTTCCTTTGCCTGTTCAAAAAACATTTATTGATTGTCTTCTGTGTGCCTGACTCTATGCTAGAAATTAGGACTAGAAAAATGAATTGAACAAGGCTTCAGGAATTTACAATGTGAGACTGACAAACTACCACACAGTGTGTTAAATGCAATAACAGGTGAATGATATGCTTTGGGAATCTAAAGGACATGGCAAACTCCTTGCCTGTTCTCTACTTAGCTAAACTTAATGGCTGCTGATTTTCTTTTGTATCTTGAGCAATTTCCAACTTGATTTTCTCTGACTGATGTGTTCAGCCCAAGTTTAAGAAAACTATTTCTCTGAGATTCCTCAATTTTGTCATGTAATTCTATTAATTAAAGCTTTCTGTGTACTTTACTTATCTAGATTAGAAAGACCATCAATTTCTCTGCACTTTCTATCCTAGCCTAGTACTGTGCACGTATGAGATGTTTAAGAAATACTTATTTTTACAGGAGATAATGGGAATTAAAATACTATTCCCCTTTGCAAACTTGTTTCCTCCTCGCAAGTTTATTAGAAAATAGCATGGTGAGCTTGTTATTTGATGTTAGGGATGTGAGTATTGAAAATAAGAATAATCAGTTAATTTGTAATTGTTAATAACACTTGTTGATCTGGAATCTGAGTTGGAAGTCAAACTTAGACTTCTGATGTACTATATTTCAAAGCCATTAAATGGGGATTCCTTTTGATGCCTAAATAAAATCTTCTGCTTATTTTTTAGTCTATGTTCCCAACTTTAAGTTATTTCTTTGGGGAAAGACAAGATAGAAGGTTCTATGAAAACATCATGCAGTTCTTTTTAGTTGTCTGTTCTGTCTTCT